TATTGATGAGGGAAGAATTCTTCCAGATTGGTCAGACAAATGTTGTTTGATCCTTGGCCTTTCCAAAGAGACTGAGAACTTCCGTTTTCTTCACAATTGTGAAATTCTTACCAATCAGTAGCACTAAATTTACTATAAATAAAAGGTCTGTGGTGCAATAATGATGTGAATGATGTGCAAATATGCAAGATGCTGAACCTTTTTTATTGTTTACCTATCTGACTCTTTAAAATTACTTTGCATTTCTGAATAAACTATTTTATGAGTGCATACGTGGGAGGAGGAAGTTGTAAAGTGCAAATATTTAAAATACTCTGTTTAAATTTTTTTCTGTTCACGCCAAACTGCTTAAATGTAGACATTTTATTATCATTAAATATTTATCAGCAAAGAATTTATGATGACAGCATATTTCTTATAAGTTATACAAACAATGTCAAACCCTGTATGAAATATAAACTGCTTTTTCATTGCAAAATCTTTGAAAGAAGTGGCTACTATAGAAGCATCTGTTTTGATGTTTAATGGTATTGGAAGTACTTTGGGGTTTGCTTGTTTTTTAAACATTTGTACCTGGTATGTTTTCGATGCCCAGGTTAAACCCAGAAGGTGCTTTTTTGTTTCCAAACTTGCTGGAATGATTTCACCACCTCTACCTGCTCATCTGTTTGTTTGCCAGATGCCACTGTACCCACAGCTGTGTCATTTGAATTCATGTCAGTGCTCCCTTATCTGCTTTGGACCAAATCAGCTGGACTAGTTCAGACTATGTAAGCTGACACAGTTGACTTTTTCTAAACCAGGTCAGTGAGCATTCAGCATAAGCTGTTCCATTGGCAGAGGTGGGAGCTGGAAACTTTTGGTAGGAAAGACATAAAGGCAACTGAGGGAACAATGACTTAAGCTTACCAATACTGTTTAAAAAGTGAATACCTGTCCCTTTATTAGTTTGTATCTGTTTGATTCAATAAAGTGTAGAATGTTAAGTATTACCTTTGTCATTGTGTTAATTTCTTTAAAATGTGTATTTTTACATATGCATTACTTAACAAAAAGTAAACTACTGTAAGTGCTTAAAGTTAGTTTGGCTTAGCCTCGGAAGTTGTCTTACCATCTGTTTAAAAAAAAAAAAAAGTCATAGAGTTATCTGAGTGTCATGAAGTTAATCATGGAATATGTTACAGTTAATGTCAAAACAAAACTCATATTATGATTCTAAAGCCAGACATGTCTGTGTCTTTTGAGATGTGTGTGGAAATATACCTTGTGGAAAGGTGATTCTCTGTGTTTACAGAAAGTGCTTGGTGAGATTATTTTAATGTTTTCCGTGTAAATTATTTACTGCAATGCAAAACAGAAGTCTTTTTTTCCTATTCCTTACAGTTTCTTAAACTACATTTATTACTGTTTTTATCTGAAGAAGGCCTTCAGCACACGATTAAGTGTTGTCATAAACTTCTGTGATATGATTTTTTGTCTCAATTCTTGTGGAGAAGACTCTCTAAGCAATGTTTTTGTTTTGCATTTTTCTCAGTGTCTGTGTGTGTTATATAATTGACCTTAACTTAAAATATCTTTTCATTAGCATCTGGGAATTTCTTTATAGTTGTGTTTAATGTATGAATTATTTCCTACGTGTGAGCTATTCCATGCTTACTATATCCACAGATCTAGGTTAGCAGCAGATGAGAATTTTTATGTAGTGTAAGTATCTCTCTTGTTTAAGCTAGATGTATATACTTTATCTTGAATTCCTCTTTTAGTTATGAATGATACAGAAAAAGGATGACATTTCTGTGATGTTATGTTCTTCTCTCCACCACTTCTGAAGAAAGGAATGCAGACAGCATACACATGACCACAGAGCGTTTATCTGTAAGGGTGCTTGGCATAAGCGGGACAGCCATAGAGATGCCCCTCTAAGAACAAGACTTGCTTGAGTTTATCTTGTAAACTCTCAATACCCAAAAACTTAGGCTGTAGAAGAGCATTTTCCTATTGAATCTGTTTACTGCTATTATAGTAGTATCTTCAATTACTTTCAAGTTTTGAAAAGTCTTGCCAACAGAATGTCTTTCTGTTGTTGGATATCACAGTGACCAATTCTGTTTATTAGTTGTCTGGCCTGGGTGTCTCAAAATCTTTATTTTTAGAAACTTTCCTGTTGGGAATATGTACTTTGGTTTATGCTATTTTGTTCTCAAACCTGCTGAAGTTCCACTTCTAAGTGTCAGTAACAGGCAGGAGCATCAGCAGGACCGAGTTTGGGCTTGAATTGCTCTGCCTGTAGTTTGATCCACGTTGGAATTATTTTGGGGATGGTTTATCACATCCCTCACTGTCTCTCACATGGTATGCAGATCCAAGCAGAAGGTTGGACCCATCAGGAATCGTACTGCCTACAGGTGAGCCTTGGGAGCAGCCTGCAGGTGCCTGAGTTTGTTGGCCAGCTAGTGTTCTGGGGATTTCTGCTGTGTCTTTTCTGATTGCCATTTGTATATGTGAGCTCCTGTTGGGCCTGGGCCTCTCCATTTTGTTGTTCTAATTACTACTCATAAGCAAAGGCAGGTGGCAACAGGTAGCTGTAACCAGCAGGGATGAGGGGAGGAATGAGTATAACTGTAAGGTGCTGTGTTTGCACAGGCTAACAATTTGTGCACCACAGGAGTCCGAATCCTGCAGAGTTTCACACTTTCAATAAAAGTACATGGTTTTATACAGATTAATACACAGTTTAATAAAAACAGAATACTTGCTACCTTGACTTTCTCTTCAGATCTTTTACAGGACATAATTTTTGCTTGTTCCTCTTTATGCACTATTCAACGTGCTTTTGTCTTACCTTAAGATTTTTCTTTGTCTTGGTTATACTTATGTTTTTATTACTACTTTTATTTTAAATATTTAAAAAATGCTCTGAGTTCCTGACAGCTCTGTGAAGGCAAGTGAGGCAGATGTTCCGGTTCTCCCCTACTCTGCATTTTGTACTCAATTTTGCATCTTTGTTAGTTTCTGCATCAAGTCTTTTCTGCAGGTGCTTGGGGCCATTTGAAAGGGTAAAGATTGTGGGAAGTGGTTGAAGAATGCGGTAAACTTGCTATTTGCAAAGTTCAAGCACATAAAGTATATTACTGGCAAAGTTAGTTCAGAGATCAGGGATACACTGTGAAATAGTATTGTGTGGTAGTAACTGGAACTGGAAACTAACAGCTGATGTTTCCAGACTCTATGTAAAATTATGATCCTGGTTTAGAGAGTCACACTGTAACTCGTGCTCCATAGGAGGCTGCAAGTCTATTCCTCCTTTGGTGCCAGCTTTGTAGGCAAACTTAATTTCACAGTTGTCTGTTGTCTCTCATTTTGAAAAGGATCATTAATGTTGCAAACAGTAGGTCTGTATTACTAGCCTAGTCACCATACAGAAATAAAACTCAATAAATTTTGCTGTAACCTTTGACTCACAGGAAGCAAGTAAAAGTGAAACCTCCATGATTCAGCTACAGCTAAATCAGTTAGTTGTTCTTCTCACCCTGGGTTTATTTTCACACGCGTTTTTTTTTCAGCTGAGTAACGTTCATCTACGGGAAGTACAGTTGATGAAACCATCTTATCAAACCAAGGTGTATCAAGTGTAAAGATTCTTATACATCACAGCCTGACTGTATAAAAAATGTTTAAAGGAGAAAACCGTGAAATCTATTCATGTAAGATAAGCAGAATCTAAATAGTTTTGTTTCCAGATTTGCTCAGTTTACAAACTCTTTTTGAGTCGTTCAGATTAATTTTACCATAGACAGCTATGGTGTTAATAATCATGGAGATTAAGATGACTGTGTAATTTAATTACAAAGAAAAAATTGTACTGAAGGAACTCAAATGTGTCTTCAGTTGTGTCAGGCTGAATACTGACAGTCCTGCATTCTTTCAGCTACTTCTCCAATATTTTTTTGAAATGTTAGCAATGTCAAAGGCTTTTTTAAAAGTAAAAATTAACGTAGTCACTTTAAACAATTTTTATGCCCTATATCAGAATGTCATTGTCTACATTAAATGAAATAGCAATGTTGTCTTAAGTAGGCCAAAGTAACACTGGACTTCAAGATAAATACAGAAATACGTAGATTAGATAGATCTCGGTATGTCAATTCACAAAAACTGAACCTTTGGGTATGTGTGTATTGATTTTTGACTGGACTTTGACAAAAGCAAATGAAAGCATTGTCTATCTGGAAATGAAGAGTCTTGTGATTGGATCAGTACTGCTGCTGCATGCATGTATTTCCACCCAAATCTATGGCAGAAGCACCCCAGTCTCTCACACCCCACGGTTGTGTCAAGCTTGCAGGGGTGCAGGGACAGTCACCCTCTCAGTCCAGTGAGCACTGGTTGACAGCAGTAAGAATAACTCCCAAGAGGAATTTCCCCCCAAAATGGCCTTCAACCTGCCAAGAGAGCTCCATGACTACCCTGCAATTAGTAACAAAGCTGCCTGGTTCCAGGCTGTGCAAGCTGTGATGCCCTTATGTGTCTGTATTTGTGGCATGGCTTTTCAAAGGTGCCACTTGTTTTGAGAGATAATTTGCGAAGCACTTCAGGAGCAAACATGATTACTTTTTTGTCTTGTGTGTGCACCTGTTGGTGCAAATTGCTGTTTGCACATAAGGCTATTCACTAGAGAAGACCCGAGGGGGATTGTGCAAGGATGACCCTGTTCGGTGCCTAGCCAGTATCAAGAATTTCTGTACATTTAGTTCCTGGTTTCTTTTAAAACAAACTCCTACAGCTGCTCCACACCTCTGCCTCTTCAGATAATGTGGCCAAGTGCCAGGGTGCTGCTGCAGGCGTGCTGGCAGAGGTGTGTTGGGCCTGGCTGGGTGTGCTCCAGTCAACTCACAGCCCCGGGAACCGGTTTGTTGGGGCCAGCACAGGGCACCTCCCTCAGTGCCCTGCCCTGGGGGCCCCCTCCTTTAGGTGAGGAGGAAGAGGAACCGAGGGCAGCGATGAAGGGGCTGAGCCACCTGCTCTGTGCTGAGGAGGATGCCGTGGAGGGAGTCATGGCAGCTAGCCATGATGGCCGTGAGTACACGGGGGTCGGGGGTCGGAAGCAAGGCAACCCAGCAGGCAGCCACTGTTGTGGGGGCAGCCCCGGGCTGCCTTGTCCGCAGGCAGAGCACCAGGCCCTGTCAGGGCTGTCAGGACAGTGGGGCCCACCCGAACCCCCTTTTTGCCTCAATCAAAGAACAAAATGAGGGGTGGGGGAGAAAAAGGTGGAGGTTAAACAAGAGCTGCTTCATATGCAGTAAAATACATCAGTGAGGACGTGTGGATGTGGGATTGCGGGCTGGGGTTTGGCATGTCTGTCATCCAAGGGACAGGCCCTGAAAACTGCCCAGCGCCCTGCTTTAAACTTCAGCTTTAAACTGAAGCTGTCCGAGGGGGGTCGCTGGCATTAGGCACATCTCTGGGGCTGAGCACGACCGATATGGGCCCCCATTTTGGGCAGCACACAGAAATCAGAGGACCTTCTGGCCTCCTTGCACTCAGCGGCACAGCTCGCGGGGTCTCCGGCTTGCATCCCACAAACCGGTTTGTGAAAGAACAGCCTGCTTGGGCGTGGGCTGCAATTAGTGAAAATGGGTTATTTGTGGAAACTGAGCGGTAATTGTTAAACCCTGCCGCAGCCCTGCAGCCCCGTCCTGTGATCACAGCCTGACAGCCAGGAGCTGTTCCCCCAGGCCATGCTTCCAGGCTTGCAAAGAGGGCAGATAAAGAAACTAATAAAATACCACTGCTGGACTCAATAGGTGTTTTCCCCCATGACTTCTTTGAACTGGAAAACAATTTTTTAGACAAAGATTCTCATACAACTTAACAAAATACCTCTTTTGCCCTAGTCATTTTATTTCCAGTAACAAACAATAAAACATAGAGAAAACATTGAAAATGTTATCAAAGCATAAAATACATGATTTAATTTTTAGAAACAATAGAGTAAAACTAATTTTTGTTGTCATTTTGAATCTGAATATTGGTTTTGTATTTTACTTCCTTGGAACTCTTCAGCCAATTCAAATTCCTGTGTTTTCTCCACGTGCTTTTTGAGACAATGACAGATTTCATCTTGGGGATTTCACAACAGGAAGTTAAAAATAGGGGAGAAGAAAGTGGAAAGATTTCCTTTATCTATGAGTACTGAAACCTGTGGTGCATTTTTTTACTTCATTGGAAGTCATCCTTTTTTGTGGTGTTACTGAAAGACAGATTGAGGCCACTAAAATAAGATGTAAATATGACAAAAGAAAAATTGAAGGTACCTCACAGCTTGAGTTTCTGTTGAGAAAGACTCTGTTTTCAGGTCAACAAAGCGATTTGCTTTTCTGTATCTTTTTACTTCCTTGTCCTTCCAAGAGATGAGAAGTGTCAGGATGTTCAACACACCACAGACAGGGCTCTCTACAAAGGAAATCAATTTATGAAATTGCTACTTTTAATTAGCTCAAAAAAAATTTGAATATATGATTTTATAGTTACATAGTTATGATATAACCTATAGGGCAATAAGTGAGACATTTTGTATGAAACCAAACAAAATACGCCCCCCCACCCCAAAGTTGACAGCCATGAATTAGATAATCAATTGCTGCTGTTACCTGAAAATTGAGTGATTGCTAATAATGCAAGGAGTACCAAATCCTAGAGACCTCAGCTTGGATAGAAAGCTTCCATAAATCTGTAGTCTGACAGCTCTATACTCCTTTAATTTCATGCATGAAAAAATCATTTTGCAAAAGCAGCAGAAGGTTATGCAGTATATCCATGAGTCAGTGCCATGGCATGTCTGGATTGCCACTGTTCTTAATTCCTGTATTAAAAGATGTTAAGAGAGAGAGAAATTATTAAGAAACATCCCACCCAGAGCAAAAGGGCATCTTTTTAACAGCATACGGCCAATTCATAACTTCTGGACAGGAGAGAAAAAAACAGTCATTACTTCAGAACTACAACTAAATTGTCCTTGCCGATGCAGTAAAGAAACATCATTCTCTTGTTTCTTGAAGGCAGTGCAAGTAAACTGCTGGGATTGTTCCTGAATGTTCTGAGATGCACAGCATTTATCTTTGCATCCTCATGTGACATACATATGAGTGTTCACCAGCAGTCAGTAGGAATGAATGTGGCCTGATTGTACCTATTGCAGCTGATGGGCGCCCTATGTTTTGTTTCCATGTTTGCCACAAATTTGCCATCAGCAAGATACCCTGCAGTCACTGTTTTACCCACTGGTTTACCTATGTTTGAAATCAGGGTAGTGGAAAGCTCTGCTGGATACTTCTTTAGGGTGCAGACTATGGAAACTATGAGTGCGGCATTTATTCTGTAAAGATCCCTGTTCATGATGCTGATTTTGCTGTCAGCCACACTCCTTGTCACAGATGCCAGGGGTGTGTTTCTCTTTGCAACTGCCTTTTTTTATTATTATTATTTTTGGTGGTGCCCCCATGTTGTAAAACAAGGAAGTAATACTCTGTGATTTCCCGAGAATTTCGGGAGGATGCTTCTTTTGTTTGACATGCTTCGATAATGTCATAGGAAAACTGGAAACAGCTTTGCAAGTGTCCAATTTAATTTCTAGCTCATTTTGTACTGTACAAGTGTGATCATTTCCACCTAGATTATAATCATGGGTAATGAATAGGGGAATCTAATTAGCGTATAACAATTTAAAAAAAAAAAATATATAACTTGGCAATACTTGAGTCAGGCCCCACAAACTCAGGCTTCGCCTGTCTCATGCTCCAGTACAAAAGAAAACAATTAATAAAATAGTTGGAATCCAGAAGCAGGATAAGAGAAGCCATAAATTAGGGAATAGTCCTTGGGTTATGAACTAGAAAAGACACAAAGTTTGAGGCAACCTGATAAAGGGAGGCCCAACATGCCAACAAGCCTGGGACCATCTGGGCAGGATGGATAACAAGGTTGCTGAGCTTGCAAAACGGGGATAATGAAGAAGAGGTCACCCAACTCTGTACACTGAAGAAGAGGAGAAAGAGGAAGATTTGAGGAGGATGACCCCTGACGACCACCTGAGAAAGAAACTGCGCAGGCGTATCAGGACATTAGCATATATTCAGGAGTTCCCGGAATAATAATGAATATGTATTAAATGTATCAGAAACCTAATGAATATGTAAACTCTTTTGTAATATAAATCACGAACAATTTGTTTCTCGTCGAGACGCACGTTCGTGGAAATATCCTGGTGCGACTCCCAGCGCTGCAATAACGGATACCTGCTTAATAGTCACATTGGCTATTGAGTGAATTTTCTTTGATTCAGTAACATGTAAAATGCAATTAAGTGAATGCCGTACTGATTTTCCTTAGTATGATCTGCAGTTATACTGCGTCAAGCTGTATTCTTATTAGGCGTTAACAAACTTAGATGTGATGCAGTAGGATGAACTTGCATGAGAAGCCTCTAAGGAACAGATAACTGTTGCAGTTTCTAGTTCAACAGAGTGCTGTCCTCTTTGATAACATCATTAGACAAGTGGCTTTCAGGCCAAAATACTCTAGACAGAAGATACCCAAGTGATTAACTCTTTGAGTTGATATGCTATAATATGCTAGGAAATTAAAAATACCTACTAACATTTTTGAAACCGATTTAACTGCTACACTAATTTCTTCTAAATGATTAATTAAATGTTAAGGTAGAAACATGAGAAATACTCTGACCTCTAAGTTAGCTAAACTGGTTATCAGACACTGGAATTTTATTTTCCAAAGTTACTGAATATTAGGTGTCTAAATGCATGCTGCGGCTACTTTAGTTGACCAAACAGATGTTAATTTTTGGGTTGAGACATTAAGGGAAGGTCCCAATTTAATAGTAAATTCCACATTGTGGCCAAATTTTGAGTTCAAGTACCACCCCTGCCCCCACCCCCTATAAAACTCCTGGTTTGTTTAGGGGGATTTTGGGTTGGGGTTTGTTTTTTTTTTTGTAGGGTTGGGGTTTTTTTCGGTTGGGTCATATAATTTGGTTACTGCTACACATTTTTACGTATTTTAGTGGTGTGTTCTGTTTTAAAACAGAGCAACTTTTCCAAGAATAGGAAATAAATGCTGCAGTTTGTACTGTTCACTGCTATGCCTATAAAATACTTTGGGACCTATTTAGATGGTGAGAGCTTCATAAATGAACTCTTGTTCCTGTGAGCAGTGTAAATAATGGTATTCCATGCTGTGAAAAGTCTACCTCTATTTGCACTTAAAAGTTGAAACTAGAAACACCAGCCAGATGTCTCTAAAGGAGAAAAATGTAATCCTGGAACACTTGTATGACAAGAAGGAAATGATTCTCGTAACATATGAAGTCAGGACAAATAACAGAAAGTAAGAACAGTGTCATCATCCCTTAAGTTGGTTATGGCTAATTTTTTTAGTAATCCAATTTTTCCATCATGTTTTTCCACAGTATTGCCAGATGAGAGAGAATTTCAGTATGCTGCTAAAATGAACAATTTGGAAACCATGGAAAAGCTGTTGAAAAAGAATGTTAATATAAATGCTGTAGATACTGTGAGTATGAAGCATCTAACAGATTGCTGATCTGAAATGTGACTCCTTGGGGTTGTGTGGTGGAATCCCTGTCAACTGCAAGGTAGTGAGGCTGCAGGAGTCCCTTCTAAGACCTCAGTAAGAAACATTTCATGTGTCCACTACAGACAGTAGGATTTGTGCAGCATAACTCACAGCTCTTTGCATTTGGCTATTAGTCTGTGCATCACATTGGGAACTAAGGGCTTCTGAATTGTGGTCCCTGCTCTGATGTTTACTCTGTGTTCTTGAGTGGCTAATTTCTCGAGTTTCCCATCTTTCAAAGCAGGAGAGCTTCACCTCACAGTCGTTTTGAGAATGAATTTATGCTGCTAGCGTTAACAAATTTCAAGTGTGAAGTGCTACTGTTTGGCTTGTATGGAACCACGGGAGCATTCTACCACATCCTCTGGCTCCAGGCTAAGATCAGAGTTCAGATTTGCCCTAGATAGATACAAATGCATTTCTTATGCTGACATCCACTCTAGGCCTAAAATCTGAGGATGTATACTTCACAGTAACAAAATATAGCGCTGTGTTTCACATGAGAGGTAGTTCAACAGCAATGGAGCGGTTGTGATATTTATCTGGGAGTTGTGGAGAACAGTTTGCCCTCAGTGACTATGTACAAATCATCTACCCATGAATATCCAATGTTACTTAATCATGGGTTCTGAAAAAACTTGTTTCCCATGCCCATGGGCATTTTTCCCTCACTGGAGAATTGAGGAGATAGTACAAGTGCATTCCCTGGTTTGTTTGTGAAAAAGAGAGGGAGACAAAAATGTCTTTTGAGTAAACTTCTCTTGAACAATGGAAGTGTTCTCATCAATTACATAGTACTCTAAAAAGTCACTTTAAAAATAGTTCTTGCTTCGTTATTGCCTTCCAGAATTCAGGAAACTAAACTAAATAATTTTCCAGTCCAGTAGTTTGAATCTTTACTCTGTCATCTTAAATCAGACCTATAATAGCTTTACTAGCATAGCTACGTGGGTGTTGTGCATTGATTGATTCTCCTAGTGGGACATAGCTTATACTGGCAAAAACATTATTTTGCTCATGTTGATTATTCCTGCCCCTGTGCTCCCAAGCCAAATAAGTAAGGGTGCCAAAAGGTGAGTTTTGCTGATAGAACTGTTTCTGTGCAAGAGGCTTTTTCTGGCATAAATTCACATCATAAATCCTACCTTTTTTATCCTTTTAATACACATAGCTGTAAATTTAAACTTATACATGGATAAGTCAGCTGACTGCAGAGAAGCATACGAGAACAAATCCAAACTGATTTAAAGTTAATTGGTTAAATCACTTACATATCCTTGTATGGAAACTTGCAGTGAATTATGTTAAATCCAGTTATGTTCACTTCAACTGGAAGCAAAACTCTCTCTACTAAAGTTTAATTCAATTTAACCAATCCCTTTTAAATTCACACCATTAATTACTTTAATGAAAAATTAATCAAGTGTTCCTGTTAAGCATTAAGCCTATTCACCTGTGTAAAATTACTCACTGTTTGCAAGGTGGAAGCTTTCATTTACATTGATAATGATTCAGTCTGGGAAGATGACTAATATTGAGTGAGGGAGGGAGGGATCTCATCATGCATTGCAGAGATACAGTCAAAAGCAAGGAGGATACCAAAAGCAAATCTAATTGTGTAGATCTAGTCCTCAGCTTTTCAAATCAAACCATATAATAAAATAGTAAACATGGATGCTTCCTGTACTGTATGCATCTCCTCGAGGCAGTATACAATTAATCCCACTTTGACATTTCAGTGAAGGCATCATGCAACACAGAGTAACTAAATCATTCTGGTTCTACAAGAAATCTTTAAGATCAACACCAAAATTCTATCCAAGGGAAGAAAAGTGCAGATAAAGACCAAGTGTGGCTGTTGAAGGAGAAATATGCATATGTATCAGAGAATTCAGAAATCCTGATCACCTGCACAAGGAAAAGAACTGTATTACGGACCTGACAACCAAAGCTTTGCTTATTTCAGCTGAAGCGCACCGCATTCCATTTTGCTGTTGCGAGAAGCCATATATCAGTGGTGGATTTTCTTCTCCATCACAAAGCTAGACTTGATATGGTGGATCAGGTAAGCTGATTTACATGTTTTGATTAACACAGTTTAGGAACCTCTTAGGGGGAAAGTAAAAGTAGATATTTGCCTTATGCTCCTCATTTTACAAAGTTAAGTGCTTCCTGTAAATGGTTCAGTTTCTCTTAAGACTGCACACACTTATATGAAAAAATATTGTTAGAGGAAAAACACCTTGTCCAGAGCTTTGGCTATGTTGAATACCTGAGTGAGCGCAAGGGTGGTTGAAGCTAACCTGTGCAAATATGCTGTCTGTGGTAGTTTTGTATTAATCATTGGCCACTTTATACAAAAGCAATCACTAAAAGTAAAAATGAGCTCTGGGGATTGCTAGGACCTCAGAAAGTAACTCCTTGTGTTCTTTGCCTCCATTTTTATGTGAGTAAATGCAAAATGCTTAATGCAAAACTGTCAGCTACTCTGCACCCTTCAAGACATTAGGAGTTTAGCAGTGTGTGGCTGCTTTGGTTGGGCCAGATGGTGATCCACAGTGCAAGATTTGATTCAGATATTTAAACTCAATGTATGGTATATTAATGAACAGGCTATTCAAACTAGGAGTTTTCCAGTGAACCGAATAACGAAAAGAGATGATTAATTTATCTTTTTTTCCCCGTTTGCTTCTTTCTCCTTATCCACTGTATGTGGCAGTGTTTCAGTTGTAAGTAAGACAAATTCCAGGTTGTGGAGGGTGGAGGGAGAAAGCTGCTTTGTTTTCACATTGTATTCGAATGAAAATAAGACGAGAGAGACCTGTCAGTTCCAGTTACCAGCAGCTCCTGGCTTAAGCATGTTCTTACAGTGCAGGTAACCATCTCCTCACTAGTGCTGCTTGAGTTGCTCTGAAATGGTCTCCCAACCTGCCCTGTCAGTGAATACCTCACATACTGCTTTGAAGAAATACGGCTGTCTTTCCGGATCCTATGAGCTACTAAGCAAATCTTGCACTGTTGCGCAAGCTGAAAGACGTTGCCTGAATGAAGTACTCTAGAATTAATAGGCTATGATATAAATGCTAAGTAGACAGTTTTCTTTGAGTAGTAGCGCTCTCTATAGCAACAGTTAAGAAATGGATCCCTGGATCTTTTACAGACTACTACTGGGTACAGTGTTAATGTAATTTTATTTTATATCTATTGTAAATTGTTCTTTATGGCAAATTGTTTTTCAGTGGCTATCTCCCAGATTTGTTCAGGCAATAAGGTGACTCAAAACATTTTTATTGGTCCTTTAATTGCCTTGATAGGGTGAATTGAAGCCAGGTTGGAAATATAGGCCCTCCCCCTATGTTTGGGTTCTATTAAACACTCAGAATCTCATTCTCATTAAGGATTACCTTTTAATTATTAGCTGTCTGTAATTCTTAGATGTTGTTAACCATCTTTGTTGAAAGACCATTGGAAACACTCCATCATAATTAGCTTACAGAGCTTAAATATTATGACATTACATAATGTATTTGACAGTGATTCATGTACTCTTTGGCATTCAGTTTGATCTTGCAATAGATAACAAGTAGAATGAAGATACTATGACTTTATTTCTTACTCCATTTCAGTTTCTGACATACTTTTTGTATAATAAATGTAGGGTCTTAAGCATTCTTAACATTTCTTAGTACAAAAAGTAAGCTGATTAAAAACACCCAATAATGTTCTTAGCAGCAGATATGTGGTACTCCCACATTTAGATTGGACACTTGTCATAACTCGTGGAGATAGTTAAGATGTTTATTGATTAAGGAGCACATCTCTAAGAAACCAAGAATATATTAATTGGCTAATAAACATACCACTATTATTAGTAGTATTAATTCACAATTATATCACTCCAGGTTGCAGTGATTGAGTTACAATTCTATTGCTTATTATCAGTATTAACATTGATACACAATTACATTACTGCAAAGAAATCTTATACTGCTAAGCTGCAATTCTGTTTCTTGTCCTTTTGCACACAACATCAAGGTAAAAGTTTATCTCTTCTTATCTACCCTACCATCCCAACTCTTGCAGACATGGCCCTGATGGAGAGGCCAGCAGAAGAGTCCAAGGTAGTCCCTTCCTGTGTTGGGGAGGAGCTTGGGTCTTCAGGTCACCTTCACCACTGTCAGCAGGA